ATTAAGTTAAAGTAAACGTAATAAAATTTTAACATCCTTGTTACGTATCACTTTTAATTAATAAGATAGAACTAAAGAATAAATATTATAAAATTTTTGCATAAAGTTACAATGCGTCATAACGATATATAAAACGTTTAGAAAATAAGAAAGAGAGAAAGAAACATATATATATATATATATATATATATATATATATATATGTATGAGAGAAAGAGAAAGAGAGAGAGAACGGCTAGCGAATTATCTTTTACACGTCTAATCTATTGGAATGTCCTTCGACGACTGACGATGAGTCGCGACTGTTGTTTACAAAATCGACCGTACCTACAATACATATATCACCTTGTTTAACAAGTCAAAGTCATATATTGCGCATTATGTTTAGTTACATATAAGAACGTATCAATGAACGTAGAAATAAATACAATACAAATAAGTTTTATATAAAATAATTTAATAACATTATATATTGAATATTTGCGTATATAATAGTTAATCGATACGAATTACATTATGTCGTTTTATAGATTTAATATATCAGAACGTCGTTCGTGTGACTTAATTCTTTATCGTAAACGAAACTCATTGTCGTATTATGCGCTTTAGAGAAAAAAAGAAAGAAAGAAAGAAAGAAAAAAAAAAAAAAAAAAAAAAAAGAAGTTGGAACAAAAGTACGTACGACTTATGTTATATATATGTACGTACATAGATGTGACTAATGTCGTACGAAGAGCGCCAAAACTTTCTAACGACGAAGTAGTTAGAAAACATGAATCGAATCGAGAGATAAAGAGGGATAGAAAAAAAAGGAATAAAAGGAATGAATGAGAGAGAGAGAGAGAGAGAGAGAGAGAGAGAGAGAGAAAGAGAATTCCCCTCTTGCTGTTCCTTCAATTCAATTGAATTCTATTCCAGCGTGCAGTTGATATCATTGAGGTCGCCACTTAAACTCTCATTGTCGTTCGTCGCTTATTGTTTCACCCTTCGCCCGGGTACCAACGAATGTATGTACGTTCGTACGTTTCTCTTTCACATCCGTACCCGCACCTCTAGCCGAACTAAAGAAGAACTCTAAGAGAGTTCAAGGGTCGAATGGTACTGAGTTTAAGAAAGAAACAGTTACCGAGTATCTTGATCATACATATACCTATATACACACACACACATATATATATATATATATGTATGTATAAATATAATATATAGAATATAATAAAATCTAAGTGAGATATCATCAAAAATCATTATCTACATAGATTTACTTAAAATTTCTTTCTGAACTTAATACATATACCGTGAATCGATCGATCGACGTTGTATCGTCGAAGAAATAAAAAAAAATAAAAAAAAAAAAAAAAAAAAAAATAAAAGAAAAAATAAAAGAGAAAAAGAATTTATCTACAATTAAAACAAGTGATTATACCCGATATGAAAATAATTCGTATATTATCTTTTTTAAAGAATCGCAGAAAATCATTTCGATCGATAACGACCGTCCAATGTTACCTCATATAGTTATAACAACGTTCCCCCGTCATCCCTTGCCACATCTCTTAGAAGGAATAAGTAGGAACGAAAATTTAAAGGAAGAAAAAAAGAAAAAAAAAGAAAGAAAAATATAAGTGGCCCCTGTCCTCTCCTACCTCCTTCCTTCTCCCTTCTTCTCAAAATCGCGCTTACAGTTGTTTCGAACTCGACTTACTTCGACTTTTTTTCATCTCGAAGTTTGTGTCTCGGTTTCTCGCAGGTAGCGCCATGCGAAGTCGGCGAGCCGTCGCTACTTAAAAAGCGTAGCGAATTTCATGGAGTGTACTTGAGGTTCTTTCAAACGTTGGCCGGCACTGTTGAGAACCCTTGGTGCACCTCGAGGCCGGTGTTGTTGGCAGTGGAATACCCAACCCCCTTTTACTTCTCTCTACCTCCCTACTTCCCTCCACTCCTCTCTCTCTCTCTCTCTCTCTCTCTCTCTCTCTCTCTCTCTTCAACCATCCTCCTCTTTCTCCTCCTCTTCCTCCTTCTTCTCCTCTTCCTCCTTCTCCTCTTCCTCATTCTCATCCTCGTCCTTCTGCTTCCTCATCCATCCCCCTCGTACTCTGTTTCCTCGACGTAGCAGCAGCAGCAGCAGCAGCAGCAGCAGCAGCAGCAGCAGAAGCAGCAGCAGCAGCACCCGTGGCCACATGAAAACGTGTACGGAATAATGGACGAAGTGAAGTGCGTCGCGGCTGCTACCGAAGTGGCCATTGTTGGCCCACATGCTCGCTCGAACAAACGGGGCCGATCGACTTCGTAGGGACACACATGAGAACGTCGACAATCTCTCTTTCTTTCTCTCTCTCTCTCTCTCTCTCTCTCTTTTTCTCTTTTTATCTTTCTCTTTTTCTCTCATTTCTTCTTTATCTCTCTTTTTCCTCCTTTAAATTTCTTCGGACTTAATCGATCTTCTTAAAACTTTATCAAAGGGTAATTCGTATTTTTATGAATTATCGTCAAACAAATTATTATTAATAATATAATTGCGAACGATATAATTATTGATTATATTGTTTTTACATTTGTGTGACGATATATTATGGCAAGAGAAAAAAGAAAAAGGATGGGGAATTTTTTGTTCCCCCATCTTCCCCCATTTTATTTTTTCACTTCGGCTTTTTGATTAGATAGAACTTGAAATTGCGTTGATGAATATCTAAGTAAATTAGTAAGTATATTTTTCGTGAATTATCGTGATGTTTTTGAATAATTTCATTATTTAAAAACGAAAGGAATGAGGAAATAAATATCATAACCTCGAAAATAAATATCATAACCTCGAAAATGCAAACGTCGATGATTAATTTAATTATTATAATTATTATCTCTGATTAATGTTATCATTGCAAAACAGATAATAGAGACATTTTAACTTAGAAGACGTTAACATCGTCGAATAACTTAATTATTATAATAAATTCTAATGATATTATAATTGTCAATAGGATCAACAATTCTATCGTTCGATCTTTACATTTTCTCTCTCTCTCTCTCTCTTTCTCTCTCTTATTCATTCATCAATTTCATCTTTAAGGTACACTTTTTGATGAACTTCAAAATATTAATCATATATAGATATTACATTTTTTTTTTGGTCAATAATTTTATTAATTCTACAACGCTATGATATAAAATTAATACGAATAAATCTATTTATAAAAGAAAAAAAGATAAAAGAGAAAAGGAATGAGATAGGAGATGCATGATTATAGCGATCATGCACAGGGAATTATCCTATCTGATTATATCGTCATTGTCATTAGGATCAGCGATAGAGATCGCCTCTTCTCTCTCTCTCTCTCTCTCTCTCTCTCTCTCTCTCTCTCTCTCTCTCTTTCTCTTATAGCCACCTACGGTGGCACTGTTAACAATCCCACTTGATTCCGTCATTGGCGACGTTGGAGTTCCTGAATGAGTTCGTAACGAGATGCACGGCCAGAGGGGCTGGCCCAACGTCGGGGGTTGCCAGCACGTGTCTTCAATGGACCAATCAAAGCTCCACCCTCTTCTCCGACATCATCTCTCTCTCTCTCTCTCTCTCTCTGTCTCTCTATTTCTCTTTCTCATTCTATCCTTCTCTCCTTCTCTCTCTCTCTCTCTCTCTCTCTCTTTATCTCTCTTTCTATGTCTCTGTTAAATCCTCTCTTCTTCTTATTCCTCATCTTCTTCTCTATGTTATATTTAAGCGTAAGTTTTTTTCTTTCTTTTTCTAATTCAAGTAGCTTACATAGATTAGACTAATGCGATCTTAGAAACGAATGATATTGTATGGTCGAACATATATATCCTATTTTCAATCTACTGTCATTAACATACAATCATACATAAAAATATATTAAAATCAAATCTAAATTGTATTCATTTTATCTTCGAACGAAACAACGAATGTTCGTATATTTATAATTTTATAATTAATCGAAGGATAATTAACGACAATGCATTAACAATCTGATATGAAAATTTTTACGAATGAAAAATATTTCGAGATAATTTCACTTTCGAATTGATAAAAGTTTCATCGAGATCAATAATTTTTATTGTCAAAATTGATTTAGTATATTTTTGATCTTTCTTCTTTCTTTTTTTTTTTTTTTTTTAGATTAATTATTATTATTATTATTATTATTGTTTTTTTTTTCTTTCTCTTTTTTTTTCAGATTGCTATACCACAAAGAAGAAATTGAAAACGTTTCGATATCCGACAATAGGAACTTTTGTGTCATCCTGTACATTTAAGCAACTTTAAGTTACGTTGAACGTTAAGGTCACCACCCTTACTACTCAGTGAGATAACTCGTGTCGGACATAAATCCAATTAGACTCGAATGGCAAAGAGTCGAACGACTGAAAATCAAGTACTTACACGTCGGTGCGTATTCTCTCTCTCTCTCTCTCTCTCTCTCTTTCTCTCTTTCTCTCTGACCCTAACGCGACGTAAGACGAGGGTGATTTAATGTGGCCTGTTGAACGTGTCGAGTGGAGAGGATCACAGCTCTAACGTGGTTCAAAGCTTCACATACGATCCGCGATCGGTGCTTGCACGAGCGTGAAAACGCGACTGATGATGATGGGAAGTAAACTTCAATCGTTTCGCACGTTGTTCGATTGACAAATTAATCGAGTTGTCTGTTCTCCTTCCTTCTCCCACTCTTCACCAAAAAAAAAAGAAAGAAAAAGAAAAAAAAGACAAAATTTCGATCGAACGAGACTTATACGACGTATTTATATGTAATTCTTTCATCTTTCTATATTCCAAATTATATCCACATCAAATTATATTTATCAATTATATTTATCAATTATTTATCGTTAGGTATTACTTCATTGCGATATGACGATAGGGAAAAATAATTTTGAACTTTTATTTTTGGTCCTAAGGAAAACAAAAAAAAAAAAAATACATAAATAAATAAATAAATAAATAAATAAATAAATAAATAAATAAATGAATGAATAAATAAATAAAT